GGTCTTACAAGTGGATCTGAGTAATCGCGGTAATAAATCGGTATTGATAGTGGTGGTTGTGTGGGAGGGGGTGGCGAGCCCTGCGGTATGGGAAGCATAGGGCGCTCACCTATTATATGATGTCTGTTTGCAGGTTCAGCGAAGTGATCGTACGATCCACATGGTTCTCCTAAGGCAAGCGGGCTGCTTATTGATGTACTCAGGCCGCTCAGAGAATGCGACCCACGGCTGCTGCATGCTTCCGCTCGTGTTGATGATCCCATTGCCACGTACTCGTGGCTCGTCTGCGTTGCCGGGATGTTGGCGTAACGAGGCAGAGGTCTGGAGACATCAGGCAGTCTGACGGTGCCTGTCACCTCGCTGCCCAGGCTGTCATCGACGGGAGACTCACGGTTGATCTCGTCGAGCACCTCGTCGATCAAATTCTCCATTCCGGGGGTGAGAGTTGCTTCCACGGATGCCACTGACATTCGCGGCACCTCGTAGATAGTGTTCGCCGGTGTCGGCGGACGCTGAGGTCTGGCGAAGACCTCAGGATCAGTTGGGCCGGGCCAGTCACGGTCCATGTTGGGATGGACGTCGACGCCAGGAGATCTGGTGTCGCGCTCCGGTGGTTCTCGCTGCATTGGAATTGGCGATCGTCGATACGACTGCGCTGCGCTGAGATCCATAGGTAGATTTTCGTCGATTCCAGGCATGGTCAAAATAATCCGGCGGAGTCGTCCCAATATCCTGTGCCAACGTTTATAATGGTTGTTCTGATAGCTGCTCCTTCTCATCCTGTGAAGTGAGCACAAACCAAAGACTAAATTTTGGTACGGAGTCATGTGGTTTGGTCACTTACGAATTATTGCTGTGCTTTCTCAAGTCGTCCGTGCGTCTCTGCTTCTTGTGCTTCTTCTCGTAGATTACACTGGAGCGTTGCTGTTCTTGAGTCAGACTGTTCGCATTCGGGCTCGGTGCCTCGGCTTTTATTCTCTATTGAGGAGCAAGGGGTAGGTCCCTTGGTTCCTTTGTCACGGTTGCATCGTGCATAAAGTAAATTCGCAGTATTGCTGATCCAAGAAGTCCTGCTTATCATCCAGATAATGACCACAAGTATTCCGAGAACACTCATGCCCCAACCTACTGCACTGTAGGTGATAAGTCTTTGTTCTTGCATCCGTCTATCCTTGATCTGGCGAGCCTTTTCAATGATGTCATCAAAAGTCGTTGATACGTGGCTGTTATTCATCGTCCATAATTCGCTTGTTGCTTCTGCCAGGTCGATTTGATATTTTTCACGGATAGGCTCGTATAAGTGTAAAATGCTTAGATTGTTCATTGGAGTATAATGCTGTACGAATTCTATAGAGTGGACAGATGGATGGCTCATCGTAGTAGTCCCTGCTTTAATTTTACATCCTTGGCGTATGGAAATAATGCCAGAATTACTTATTTCTTCCTGTTTG